TGAAGCTGTTGTTCCAGTTGAGATGGGCCTCCTATCCAATAGAGTGGAGCACTACGAGCCTACAGTAAACGAGGAAAAGCTGCTTCTCAACCTCGATTTACTTGAAGAAAAAAGAGAAATGGCCCAGCTACGCCTGGCGGAATATCAAAACAGAATGGTCAGACATTACAACGCCCGAGTTCGACCTCGAACCTTCCAAGTCGGACATATGGTCTTAAGGAGGATCCAAAGTCATGTGGGCACCCTTGACCCAAACTGGGAAGGGCCGTTTGAAGTCAGGGGAATAGTCCGACCTGGGATGTACATACTGGCCGATCTGAAAGGAGACGTTCTCGTGCATCCATGGAACGCAGAGCATCTGAAGCGCTATTACCCTTGAAATGTCAAAATGGTCCTAAATGGACTTGTAAAAATTTTCAAGAGGATGGTGGTCTGAATAGACGAGGTGATTTAATTTCATGACTTCGAGTTCGACCAGAAATTAAATGGGGGCCACAGACTCTCACAGGATTAAATTGCAGTAATTGGTTAAAATTCAACCCTCAAAACCTACGGGTTAGAGGTGCGATGTCAAACCAGCAATGAACCAAAATTCAATCCTTTGTACGTTAAGAGTTAAAGGTGCGATGTGAAAGGTTCAAAATTAAAAATTAATTACGAAATAGTTGGTTAAAATTCAATCCTCAAAACCTATAGGTACGAGGTGCGATGTCAAAACCACTGATGAACTTAAAATTCAAACCTTTGAACATTTAAGTTAAAGGGGCGATGTGGAAAATTCAAAATATTCAAACCTCTGAACCTAAGGGTACGAGGTGGGATGTGAAGAATAGCTATCGACTTAAAATTCAAACCTTTGAACGTTTAAAGTTGAAGGTGCGATGTTAAAAGTCCAGAGTTTGTGTAATGCATTGAAGACTAGATGGAGACTCAAATTCAAACCTTTAATGAAAGGCGTGATGTCAAAAGAGTTAGAGGTGCGAGGTGAATTTGACTACAAAATTTAAAGAAAAGGCAAGAAAAGAGACAGAGCCAAGTGCACAAAAATGAAGGAATAAGACATTTCATTGATTACAGGACAAAGCCAAGGCTTATAGACCTTGTAGCTCTGCCCTGCGACTTACAAAAAAGGAAAAAGAAAGAAGCCTCAGCTGCTTCCGAGGTGGGAGGATAGCTCGCCCTGCGACCCAAGTAGATTGACCTCCTGAGATTCGCCTGGTTGAGAAAGAGCTTCCTCCTGAGTGGTGCCGACCTGGTCCTCTTTAAGATCAGAGTAGTCAGAGTCCAGGTCTCTGACGTACTTCTCCACCAGCGCCTAGGGGCAGGTGTGCAGTTAGGCCCAGAGGCCCACTTCTCAGCATACTTCCTCTTCAGACCGCTAAGATCGATCTGAAGGTCAGGCATGTCGGCAGCAATGCCCTTCATCAGGAACTTGAAGCCTGCGTCAGAAAATTCCTTAGCAAACCCGTCAAAGTCAGGGTGTTGCCTGAAAGACTTCTCCAGTAGGGCTCCGTTGCTGAGATGCTCCTTCGCCGTCTCCAGCTCGGCAGTCAGGCGCTTGAGCTCCTCGTCCTTCGCCTAAAGGGCCTGGAGCATGTCATCCTTCTCCTTGAGGAGTTGAAACTTCTCCTTCTCCAGGCCCTTAGTGATGGCATGGGCAGCTCGGAGCTGCGCCTTGCGCCTCTCATCTTCCTTCTTCAGCAGCTCGGCCTTGGCCTCCACCTCA